CCAGTGGCTACACCACTGAGGAATAGGGCTCTCCTCCCTCTCCAACCTGTAACTGTCTATAGATCCTATGGAAGGTGTGGGGCCTTTCATTTCACATCCACACCTGAACATGCCACTAGGCCTCTGACTGAAAGATCACGTTCCATTAAGTATATACCTAAGTAGAATTGCTTTTGATTGAAGCTAATTCTTCAAATTTTTGTGTTCTCACTTTTGCAAAAGTCCTAACTGATTCTGTTTCATATCTCCGAGGGCATTGCATGACACAGGTGCAATTACACACATACAGGTAATACACTCATACACATAAAACAAAAATAATACTAAATAAAATATTAAAAAAGAAACACAAAAGGCCAATACATATTTTTAAATGCAAAAACCACAAAATTTAATAAAGTTAAAAGCCTACATTTTAATTTCCATTGCCTAAAGTCATTTATTATATTCCTATTAGTGAATTTCATGAATAAACTTTTGTTTTGTTTTTTTGTTTTTTTGAGACAGGATCTCCCTGTAGCCCCAGCTAGCCTGGAATTTTCTATGTAAACCAAATGAACACCATCTCACAGAGATCCATCTGCCTCTGTAGTGCTGGGATTAAAGGTATGCACCACCATGCCCATTGTCATAGATAAACTTAAAAGTATTTCAAGTACCCTAAATGTTGATATTTTACATACATAAAATGCTCTAAATTTAAATGAGGAAAATACATTTAACTTTGTTTCTGCAGTTAAATATGAAAAAACTGTATTATTTATATCTGTACACACACACACTGATGCAGCAGTTTTCAGATATAGTATCATAAAATTAAGTTTGGCTTTACCATCATGTGAGGTGTGATTACAAATCTAATAACAAACCTCTTCATCGATGACTGGAACAGATAACTTCTAAAAATATCTAGGTTGCTATATTCTGTATTGGTCAAAAACCATACACAAATAACTTTATAATACCCTGATAAATTTATTTTGAGATTCATGATGTCTTTATTTGGTCTATGTTAATTAATTATATTGGTTTTTTTTAAATATATCCAGTAATCAGTAGAGTATGTCATATTGATTTTTAAAAAGGGCTTATAGATTTTCTGATGTAAAAAAACATTAACATTTTTCAAGCAAAATGATTTTTTCAAGACTAATTTCTAATCATTAACTAGAATTTGACACTCAAAAATGCCTTAATTTCACTAATATGGCAGTGGCAGAAACCATAGATGTTAATTACTCTGGAAAATGCTCTGAGACTTCCTCTTTATTCTATGCCTTAAATCTAAAATCCACTTATTCAAAGGCTATGAATATAATGTCAGAAATAACACTTTACATACAGTATTTTACTGCATATATTAAGTTTGAATAGTTTTTGTCTTTGTTCCTAATGGATCATTTCATGAAAAACAGCTATAATTTATTTTTAAATAGCCTTCCTTTCCAAATAATATAAAAATCTTAAAAATATTTTTCTTAGTATTGAGTTCTGAGATGTTATTGGGAAACAGATAAAAATATCTGCACATATTATAACCCTAATTAGAATTTCATAAAAAATAACAACTTCTCAATTTTTAGAAGCATCAGTTTTAAATATTAACATGTCAGACTGCCTTGATAAACTATATCTACATCAATGTGGATATTAAAATAACATTTGTTCAAAAGTCTGTAATTAAATAATTGGAAATTATTTCATTTCAATGTACTTTCATTAATTTCATCTTCAATTAATAGTTAATTAAAATCTGTATGAATTTCAAGTGTTTTTCACTTCAAAATATCAAAGTCTGTAAGGCAATGTTTCACAGAGAATTATTTTGAGTAACAAGTAGAACTTCTAAAAGTTTCTCTACGTTTAAGTCAGAGGAATATTCCTTGAAGGAAACTGTAGAATACAAGAATTCACCTTTACAACAATTCATAACTCCATTTCCAGGGGATCCAACAACGTCTCCTGGCTTTGAGGAGTATTATATACATGGATGAACTTAAATACTTTAGGCAAAACATTTATACTTATAAAAATAAGGATAAATAAATGAGAAAATAATAAATAATAAAGTTTTATAAAGACTGTGATACTTGCTAGGTGATCCAGGCTTCACTGGATGGCCACACCTGAGTATATAGGCAGCAGAAATTGAACCCAATGTTTTGTTTACTTTTTAACATTGTACATTTTGTTTACTTTGAGTTTAAAAATTAGTTCTAATATTAAAAAATCAAATGAAATGAAAATATATCAATGAAAAAAACAGAAAGTAAACAATTATCATTATTAGTAAACAGAAGTTTATGAATGTCTAAAGAAAGCCAATATTGTTTTCCTGATAACCTACTCTGAGGTAATCTGATTCTTCATTCAGACATCATAGGGACACAACAGTGGGCAGGTATGGATGGGGGTGGACCTAAGAGGGATTGAGGAGTGTATGATCAAAATATACTGCATGAAATTCTCAAAGAATTAATAAAAATTAAAAATTAAAAAGAGTATAAAAATTTTGTTCTCCATAAGAATTCCCATGGGCTTTAGCCAAACAGAAACCATTTAGAGAAACAAAAAGTGTACTTGATTTTCCTCATGTCTTCAAAATGTTTGGTGTATAACACATCACTGATGCCACCTACCAAGGTCATGCCTGGCTCTTACGGTTAAGAGAATGGCCTGTGAACCAATACAAAATAAGGAGTAAATGCCTTGTGACCCAGGACAGTATATTTAGCACCTCAGCTGTCTCATCTGTCAAAAAACCACATAATAATGAATCCAGTACTTTGGAAGTTGGTTGTCTGAATGCTCCTTGACCTTTACTATTATATTGCATTCAACCACCTCACACCATCTAACAATCTTTGCTAGACTTTTTGGAAATGAATTAGTG